GCTAGAGGAAAAAAAAGTGTTAAGAAAATCCTAAAGAAGAAAACGTATACTTACAGTACCGTAACAATTCTGCATGTAAGTGGACCTGCAGTTCAAACCTGTGTTGTTCAAGGGTCAAGTGTATTTTATTTCAAGTTGCACACTGGTCTGGATCTATGTTCCTTATAAAGAACTGGGTTTGTTGATTGTTTTTCTTTCCTTATAAACTTTTAGAAATTTTCCAACACTCTATTAATAAGCCACTAGAGCCATGATTTTACTAATGTTTACGACTACTTACTGACTGGTAAAAGCTATAGTGACCATGTTTTAAATTTAAAAAGTGTTATGAATTTACTGTGATTATTTTGCTGCTATATGTAAAATGCTGTTTTGTCACTAATAGGTTTCCCCATTTGTAACATGGGAACAATGTTCAAAGTTCACAGGACCAGTAAATAGATACATTTATCACAGTGTTAAGCACTTATAATAAATGGTAACTATAATTATTACTAGAATAAAAAGTTAAGAATGAGTTTGAAAGAGATCAGAATTGACCTTCAGAAGTCTATGTACCTTCACAAGATAACTGTACCAGCAAGAGAGTCCCTCCTTTCAAATTGTGAATCAATATTATTCTAAAAAGTACAGTTTAAGGGGGACAAAGAAAATCCAGGAAATTTCTCTCTAATATTTTTAAATTATATATGAAGGCCATGATAGGAACCAAGATAGTATCCTTTGGTTTTGAAACATCCATACCTAAGAAATTTCCAAATCATTTTACTGAAGTTGTATCACATAATCAAGATTAAAAATTGCAACTAACCAATTTAGAGCTAGAACTGGAAAGTTTCTAATGAGGATCTTGGAGGAATTTATCTAGTGCATACTGAAAATTCCAAAACTCCTAAGTAGTATATACTGTAATTATTCCATGATAATTAAATTATTCTGTTAACTTAAACTATAGAAATTAACTAAATGATCAAAATGATGTTCCATGTCTTCCAAAGAACCATGAAAGATAACCTGTTATATGAAATGTAAAAAGAAAAGTTACTTTTGAGAAAAAAAAAAAAACAACTTTAAGTTTGGAGAGTTTGGGTTTGGTTTTTTGGGGGGAATAATTTAATGAGATACTTCAATGAACAATGTTGATAACCTTCAAATAAAAGTATATATCAATAAAATACTAGCAATGATAGCCACATAGACTAATTTTATGGTCTAAAATTAATGAATTATATATAGAATAGAAATCCCCAGAATACAGTATTAAGTGGAAAATTTTTCTTTATATTTTTCTATTTTAATAAAATACAACAAAATCCTTCTTAAACATGCATTTTTCCACCTAACAGTATCCATTTAGTTAATATAAAATTTATTTAGGAAAAAACATCAAAATAAAGTTATAACCAATATACTTGTGGAATACAATTAAAATATCTCTTCACATTAAACTGTAGGGACCATCCTTGTTTCTCAGATGCCTAGCACAATGCCTGAAAGACAGCAGATGCTCAGTAGATGTTTAATGAATACCTAAGTACAATCTGTTTTGCACATACATTCAAAATCCAGACAAGTCTGCAAAGGTACATAAGTTGGACATAGGCTTTCTGGCTGACTTCATGGGGTCCCAGTGATGACTAGGAGTAAATCTTCATATCCATAGAAAACTGGAAAGTTGATAAGTGTCTGGGTAAGGACCAAAAAAACAAAGTCAGGGAAACATGTCACCTAAGTAAAGTTGCTTTATAGAGCTGGTAAAAGTGGCCTAATCATTCCAATAACCTATTGTACTAGTCATTCAATGAAATGAAATTTAAGTGTATCTTGAACATTTGCTAGTATATTTTAATTGGAATTTTTTTGAAATCTCTTATTAAAAATAAATTACTTTTGTTAAATTGCATCCTGTACAAGGATTAAAGGGAATATGTTTTTACTTTCTATAAGTACTATATTGTTAATGGGATTTAATTTGGCTAACAGAAAAAGTGAGAGCTACAGTCAAAATAAATTTAAAAATTCACGGTAGTGGAGAAATTGTAGCAGGGAGGAGAGGAAAGGAAAAAGGAAGAAAGGAAAAGAATCCTACATATGGGAGTAAAGAAATTCAAATATGCCTAACTCTATTATCAATTATGACAAGCAACCAGTAGGGCCTCCTATGCACCAGACACTGCTATGAGGGACACTGACACTGCTATGAGGGATATAAATTGTTAACAAGACAAAAATCCTTAGTCTTAAGTGGTTCACAGAACAAGACTAATAGGTAAACATTTATAATACAATATGCATCATATATATATATCTTTAATCAAAGAGTAATAAGTATATTTACTGATTAATTAGAAGTACAGAGAAAAAATAAGCATCCGGGAAAGCTGAAATAATTCTCAAAATAGTAACTACGCAGAATGAAAGAAATCAGTACCTCTTAAAATAACAACAAATAACTGAATTATAAATAGACAAAATTTTGGCTTAAAGCGATTTACCTAAATATTCTTAAAACAATATGCCTCCATATAAAATCCCTAAGTGCTATACACAAAACTGTGAATGACAGTTTCATTTCTGACAAAAGAAAATGAGGTGGTATAGCATAGAGAACGTTAAGAGAGCTAAGTTCTCTGGTCCACGCTCTGGTCACTTAGAGGCCTTGGAAACTAGGCAAGTTCCTCAAGCTCTCTGAAATTCAGCATTATGTTAAATGAAGAGCTGGATAAAGTGACCTCCAAGATATCACACAGATGAAAATTACAATCCTAAAATGTATTAATATTTTAAAAATAAGCCATAATAAAAAAGGTTTTCTAAATATAAATCATTATCCAACTTAGAAGAAGTCTGGAATTCTCAAACCATACAGAGTTACCCTAGGAATGGTGGGATAAAGGAATGTTTTCAAAAGAAAAGCAGACATAAATTAAGTAAAGGTATTATACTCAAGGCTGTAAATTTTCACTCAGCTGCCGACGGGCAACTACCATCCAATTATATACACAATTTGCTTTCCTTAAAATTGATTTCTTCACTAAGTTCTACTTTCTCCCTCTTATGTTAATGTTGCTGAGGAATTAGGGTGAGGACGAGAAATCCTAGGTAGACCTGAAATAGTAGTATTGATGTTGGGAGAAAAACTTGAACTTGACACAGATTTCTGCTGAAGTGCACTAATTACACCTCAGAGAAAGGTAAGGAACTGTTCAAACTGATGACAGAAAGCAGGGAAACAAGACCATATTGTTTACTGCTACACAGCTTTTCCCCCCTGTGTCTAAATGTCTACTTTTGCACACATTAACGAAAATTTTACAGAACAAGTTTCTACATTTGCAGTGCGTTTCTGCCACTAAAATAGAAGCATATTATGTTTTGGCTTTACCATCAAGAAAATAAAAAATTAAAAGTATTACCATGTTTTAATATTTATGTCAACTATCCATCTAGATTTATGTTTCTTCAATCCTTTCTATTTGATCAAATTGCTGTTTTCATACTACCAGTCTGATCATAAAATTGCTGCTTTACAGAAGAATATTTTTTGCTGACATAAATTATGGGATCAGAGATACCAATGCAGTTACAAAAAAGGGTGTGTGTGTGAGAGAGAGACAGAGAGAGAGAGAGAGAGAGTGTGGTGTGTGTGAGAGAGTGTATATATGAATGTGTGCATCCATCTTCAAGGAAAGAATAAAGAAATGTATGTATGAAACAAAATGCCACTTTCCAATGTAAGCCCTAGTAAAAGGCCTACATTGGAAACATACTTTCTAGCATTTGTGAAATAAAATACAGCACTGAATTTGAAAGCCATAGTGATTTTTATGAAGACTGTTATTCTATAAACCTAAACCTGGATTTATCTTTCAGTTTATGTCTAACTACAATGAATATACTAACTATGACTTCATGATTTGACTCATGAAAATATATTTTAGAAATCTGTCTCCTTTTACGTACAGTGAGCAATTTGGTTCAGTACCCCAAGAGATGAAAAACTCATCTCACTTTACAACACTAAATAAATAATTCAGTTAAAACTGAAAGTGGTACCAATCCAGCAAACTATTGATGGAGAGGTTTGGCCTTCCATGAAGCCAGAACAACATAAAGTTTTCAATGGGGATTACTTGTTCAGACAAGTTACAAAGGTTAGAAAAATACCCAGATTAATTAGGAAATAGCTAATATTCTCGTCTTATGGAAAATAAACATCAAGAACGTATGTAGGAACAGATAATACCGGTGGTATTTAAACTTCGAGCATTTTAAGCTTTGAACTTTACATGCTGATATATGAAACAAATTAACAAAACAAGCAGTAATACAAGTCAAAACCTAACCAAAGGCCTCTATCAACTAAAAATTTGAAATCTCTCATGCAAGTCAGACACAACAACAACAACAAAAAAGGAAAATTAAACCCAGAAAGCAAAAACCAATCAAGTCTGTTCCAACACTGAAGTCAATTTCCAAATCACATACAGAACCAAAAAGGGGAAAAAACACTCAGGTCTACAAATGGATAAGCAGTTCCAATACAATCCAGATCCCGACATTTTCCCACTCAGAAACAAATGCAGTGGAGCTTTTCCTGGGGAAAAAGGAAAAAAGCTCTCCAAACGAATTTTTTCAAGTGACATCTAGAAAGTGTGCCTCTTTCTGTCTCTTTCCCTGGCGCCTCATTGGAGGAAGGAGGGGGTTGTTTTTGTATTCTCCCCCACTGGAGCAAGACACAATCAGATGTTAGCTGGAGAAGAGAAACCACTTTTGACAACAGCAAATAAAAATAAAAGTGCCCTTCCTCCTCTGACAGGATGGGCACCCACCTCACACACCCCTCCCCACTCCAACCCCTCCTTCACTCCCCCCCCCACCCCAGCACCACCCCCTCCTCACCCCGGAGCTCCACTGCGTATGTGGTTTGGTGCTACTGCTGCCCCGGAGTTAAAGTCAGAGCCAGAGGAAGGCAATGAAACCCCCACAGACACACTTACCTTTCCTGCCCCCCACTTTTGAGTGCCTTCCCTGGAGCTGTGGAGGATGACACAAAGGGTAATAAAGGGGGGGGAGTGGAGGAGGAGGAGGCGAAGGAGGAGGAGAGCTGGGGAAGTGGCTGCTCCTGGGTGTAGTGAGATGTCTCCAGCCAGGGCCAAGCAGCAGCAGCAGCAGTAGCAGCGGCAGCAGCAGCAGCAGAGAAGGGTCTGTGTTGCTAAGAGGCTTTTGGTCTCTTTCTCTCCTCCTCTCACGGCCAAAGAGGAGGAGGGTGGAGGGGGCTCGGGAGGGAGGCTAGTGGAGGGGTGAGGGGGTAGGAGTCGTGGATGGGGGTTTTCGAAGAAGAAGAAACTCCTTCTTCTTCTCTCTCAGGCTCAATCCCCCTCTCAGGTCTCAGGGCTGGAGGGTGGGGGAAGGAACTCAGCCGCCTTCCCCCCACCCCCCTCAATTCAAGGTTGAAGTGGGGTAAAATTAGTGTCCTGTCCCTTTAAAAATAGAAATAAAAGGTGCCCCCCCTCTGCCACTGCCTCTCTCTTCATCATCAGCTGCTGCTGCTGCTGGGGTCTCTCTGCTGGGGGGGGGAGGGGGGGTTCGGGTAGAAGAGACGGGAGGCACTCACTGCGCATGCCCCTCCCTGACGGGAGGCTGGTTGGTTGAAGGCAGGAGGAGGGGGAGGGGAGGAAATGATCCGGTTTCCCAGAAGGCTCCGAGGCACTTGCGACCCGGAAGACATTGTAGCAGGGGGTAGAGGGGCGGGGGTGGGGAGTAGGAGGAAGTCGCTACTCTTTAACACCCCCTGCCCCCTCCTCTTTCCTAAGGGAAAGTGGATGAACGGAAGTGGGCGTGGAAGGAGACGCAAGTAGGTCACGTGTTGGGGCGGGAGTGGGGCGGGGTGGGAGACGCGGTGCGTGCGCGGGGAATGTCGGGAGTAGTGGTGTACCGTTGGCAGTAGCAGGTGAAGCTGAGCAGACTACGCCGCGAGCGGCGCCTGTGAAGCGGTTCCCGTGGTCGCCAAATTCCTGCTCTGCCCTGGTAAGGGCAGACTTTTCTGTGAGAGGTAACATGGGGTAGGCTGGCCCCAAAACTAAGGCCAGGGTCGCCAGGGCGAAAGGCGAATCGAAAAGAATGAGGACGGAAGGTTGCGGAGACTGGGAATGCGGGAAGAGGGCAGGCTTGTCTAGGCCAGGCAGGCCCCTTCTGTCTCGTGGTCTTCCTGTGAGGCTGCCAACAAATCCCTGAAGTCTGCAGGGATTCCTCAAGAGAGTAGATCTCTGGTGGGGTGTTGACTGCACCCGGTGGTGGTGAGGAATTTGATGGTCCTGCTTCTAAAGAGAAATGGGATCAGAGATGACTCTGTTGACTGTTCAGCTCAGAGCGGGGGGAGAGAAAAGCTCCATGTGTGAATTTTGACAACTTCTGGCATTGGATGCCTTACTTGCATTTGGTATTATGACCATCATTCCTTACTTTGCTATGCTCCCTGGAATTCTGGAGTGGTTTTGGGGAGGAGGGAGCAAGCTGAGAAGCCTTGAATGGAATTTGCCTCCCATATCTTGGCGTTGTTGATGCAACACAATGCCTAGGCTTGTTCTCAGAAAGGGATATGGGATTGTGTAGTCCTTGATGTTGTACGGTTTATAGAGAAGGGACATAAAATTTTCCTTTTCTGTAGTGTAGATTAGAGATTTTTAAATGGATATTTTCTTTTAAGTTTCTTTGGTTACTAGTCTCGGATTTAGAGCCTTTGGTTTCTCAATTAAATACCAACTATGTTTGCTGGAAATGTTTCCCTCATAAGATAATTCAAACTATTGAAGAATTCATGAATTTACATTAGTAAGGCTTTTTTAGTAAAATACCACCATTTCTTTTTCATATTCATTTCATACAATCTTAACTAGAACCATTGCGATCTTTCAGTTACCTTCTTTGGTAAAAGTACTTTGAAAGATTATCACCCTTTATGGTTTCTTTTAAGACCAATAATCTAAAATTCCTCATGTTTGTTGTATTGGTATTATTTAATTCTGTAATGAGTTCTTTAGGATACACTATCAAAGTTGCTACTTTTCTACATTTTACTTCTTATGTTTTGGCAATGGACCCTATTTATACATCATTGCCTAGTGCTTCTTTCTCTGTGTGTAATAGTCTTTTGTCAAACGGAATAAAAACTAGACTCCTGTGCCTTAAAATTTTGTTCGTATTGCAGCTAAACATTTACCACTTTATAAAAGAAAAAAAGTTATAGCAAAGCAATTTAAGTGCCTTCGGTAACAAATTTTTTTATGTTAAGATACTAAATATGTAAAAAATGCACAAATCATAGGTATGCAGTATAATGAATAATTACTAAGTGAACCCTCTGGTGATCGCTACCAAAGTCAAGAACTAAAACACTCTTGGCACTGGAGACCTACTCCTCCCCCCATCCATTCCTGAATATTCTCCTGCTCACCACTTCCAGAGGTTAACAGTAACTGAATTTTTAGGTAATTATTTCCTATTTTTATTTCAAGTATTTTTTTTAACCATCAATGTTGGCATTCCTACACGATGTAGATGAATTTTGCTTGTGTTTTACCTATATGAAAAGAATTACAGGGGCGCTTAGGTGGCTCAGTCGTTAAGCCTCTGCCTTTGGCTCAGGTCATGATCCCAGGGTCCTGGGATGGAGCCCCACATCGGGCTCCCAGCTCGGCGGGAAGCCTGCTTCTCCCTCTCCCACTCCCCCTGCTTGTGTTCCCTCTCTTGCTGTCTCTCTGTCAAATAAATAAAATCTTTAAAAAAAAATTAGAAAAGAATTACACATTATGTATTAGTTTCCTCTGTGGTCACAATATTTTTTTAACCCTGTTAGTAGATTTAGCTGTAGTACATGTTTTTTCATTTTTGTATAGTAATGTCTATAGTAAATGGTGTAGTAAGTTCTTTTATGAATAAACCACAATTAATTTAATTTACTCTAAGATTAATGGACATTTGGATTGTGCCCAGTTTTTAGCAGTTAAAAGCAATGCTACTATGAATGTTCTTATGCATGTATTTTATGCACATAGCATGCATTTTTGGAGAGTGTAGATTATGCCAAACTTTTCCAAAATAGATATATCAATTTATACTCCTACCAGCAGTGTATGATACATAACTTTTTTCTAATGTCTCACCAAAAACAATGACGTTTTTCATTTTTGCCAACGTGATGAATGTGGCTTTATGTTAATGTTTTAATTTACAGTGCTCTGGTTATTAATGACTTGGAGCATTTTGTAAAAAATTTATTGGCTATTTCAATTTCTTGTTTGAAATGTCTTTTCCTATTCACAGTGTTTCTATTGGGTTGTCTATGTTTTACTTAAAGATTAGAACAGTGTGGCAAATATTTTCTCTGTGCTTGGAGCATTTCTTGCATCCTCAATGATTTTATCTTCATTTCATTCCTTACTGGCTTATATGCTATTAGTATTATTTTAAATCTATTTGTAATTTTAACTCAAAGGAAGAGGTTCTATACTTGTGCTACCCACTACTGTTAGCCCGCTTGTGGCTGGCCATGGACCACTTGAAATGTGCTTAGTGTTGCTGAGGAACTGAATTTTTAGTTTTATGTAGTGTTAATTTAAATTTGAAAATTGATACTTGATTCAGTTGTTGAAAAACCCTTAAGTATGTCTGGAACAACTTGGGTATGTAAATGTACTTTTCAGCTTGAAACTAAAAATAAAGATCAAGTATTTCTGATGACGATTTAGCATCTGAATTGTCATGTTCTGTAAATGTCAAATACCAGATTTCTAAGACTTAGTATGAAACCAATGTGAAATAATTCAGCTTTTTATTATGATTGCATGTTGAAATTATAATAAATTAATTTTACCTTTTTTTTAATGTGGGTATTAGAAAATTTTAAATTATATATATATGAGTGGTATTGTATTTCACTTGAACAGTACTGTTCTTATCATCAATTTTCAGTTACATATTCCTATATTTTTACCATTTTCAGTGTTCATTAATTTTTGCATCTCTGAATTTTCTTTAAAGATCTTTTTATAGAATTTTTTTAAAGATCTTTTAATATACTGTTTAGAATATCTTTAATACAGATGTACTGATGATCAGTTTTTTAATTTTTTGCTTATCTTACAGTGTCTTGTTTCATCTTCAATCTTGAAGAATGTTTTGGGTCTTTTAAATTGTAGATTGTGATTGTTTTTCGGAATCTTGAAGATAATGTTCCACTGTGGGTTTTTTGCTTTTAGATTTTTTTGGCTTCCATTAGTGATTTTGAGAAGTCAGCTGTCAATCTAATACTTGCTGCTTTGAAAGAAATCTCTAAAAAAATGTTTTCTTTGTCTTAAGTTTTCTGCTACTTCTTTATGATGTTTTGTATAGAATTCTTTTTCCTGTTTTGGGTAAATTGAGATGCTTGAATCTCTGGATCAGTGTGTTTTTAAGTAAATTACCCAAATTCTTACTGTTTGTAGGTACTTGGTAAAAAATTACAGTTATGGCTTTTATTTTTATTATTCATAATTTGTTTGTGACTGATAATTTCAGTTTCTTAATTTTTTAAGGGTCTGTTTCTGCTGGTTCATGATTTTTTTCTTGTGTGCCTACGTGCTAGTTATTGGATTTGAAAAATTATAGGATTATTTAAGTCTTAGGATAATGGTATATTTTTCAAGAAGCCATGTTTTCCTTGGAAAGATGATTAACCATGCTACCAGTCCCAAGTCACTTAGTTCATGTTCAAGACTTCAGATTACTTGTTTTATATATATATAAATCTATAAAACATATATATTTATACTTATACACACACACACACACATATACATGACATTAAGCAGGGCTACAAGTCATGAGTTGTATGAGTTCTATTTTACATCCAGTTCTCCCTGACCTGATGATGTTGCCCTTAGGATCTCAACTTAATTTGGGTGATGATTTATTTGCATCCCACTTTTGGGGGATCCTGTGCTTTGATTTTTTCCCTCATAGTCCAAGAAATCTACCAGCAGCTCAGCCTTTCTTCTATTTTCTCAGCTTTTTCTTCTGGATAGGTAAAAGGCCTCAGGAAGAAGTGACTGAGTATGGGGTTTATTTTTCTGGTTTACTTTCTAGATTTTGGTGTGTAATTTCATACTGCTTTATTTATTTGATTTCTATTGTGAAGAATTTTTTGTTGGTTTCAGTGGGATTGATCTGATCTGCCATTACCATAAATAGAACCCTTATCCTCTTTTTTTCTTTTTAAAAAATTTTTGAGAATTGATTTCAGGATCTTTCTGCTTCCAACCAAACTTGTGTGTTTTAACTTAAGTCATACATTAGTTTAAAAAATTTTAAATCACATAAGGCTCTATAGCATAATAATCCAAGTTAATTAGAATTTATTTTTTTGAAGATTTTTATATATTTATTTTAGAGGGAGAGTGCATGTGCATGCAAATGGAGGGAGGGGCAGAGGGAGAGAGAGAAATTCAAGCATACTCCCTGCTTGTGGGGAGCCCTAGGCAGGGCTTGATATAACAACCCTGAGATCATGACCTGAGCTGAAA